TCCACTCTGGTGCCCTCCGGATGAGTTGGGTTACAACTCCTATCATCTCCAGTCAGCATGGCCATTGGCTGAGTGGAGTGATGACGTATCTGTTCTGAGGAAACACAAAGGCCAAACTCACAATACTATTTCAGACAACTGACCTGGCATTGCCCATCGCATGCAATCGCTCGCTCCAGCCTGGATTCAGTGCAAAACAGGCAATGCCAGAAAGCCTGCTTAGCCATGTTTGGGCATTTCACAAACCCGGGGGCCGTGGGAGAGATGTGCATGCAGATCAGGACAATAATTCCAAGGAAATATGAGCGGGGGTGGGGGCAGGTCTTGCCTGTGTCCACTCTTTAATTAAGAGAATGACTGCAAAGGCTGGCTCTACTCCTTAGAAGCAAATTGAATCTTCTCTCGTGTTTCTGCTGTGCTTATTTCCTGGACAAGAGCAATGATATTAATGAGTGTGAGAAAGGAGAAGTGGCAGAAATATCTCATGCTGGCTTCTCCTGCTGAGAGGACAATCAAATGGGCAGTGGTGAGAGCTGGGAGGAAGTGGGGAGCCTGCGTGGGGCATCCCTCCCCACGGAGGGTGTCTTATTTGACCTGTACCCCATCTCCCCTGCCTTCCCCTCACCAAAACCCTGGAGAAAGCAGTGGTGGCACAGGAGAAAGCTCTTGTGCTTCCGATTTCAAAACTCAGGAGGCGTTTCCATCTAATGCCATCCTTTAATCTTTTCCTCCTGAAATTAACTGAACCTGCAGTGTGTATGTGTGCAGGTGATAAAATGATAAGATGAAAGATGGAGCTGAAAGGGATAAAACTTGTCTCCAGCCATGTTTCTTACTTTGATTTTCCTTACAAAGGTCAAAAGGTTTGCTCCTGTCACCTCATTCTTCCCAGTTATAGGTGGTGCTGGGTTTCCAGTATGGAGAGGGGCAAATGCATTCAAGTTCCATTTGACCCAATTATGACTTTCATGTTTCTCTGCACCTATGAACAAATGCTTTATTGTTGTTTAATGTGTTTAAATTTCACATCTCCAATGGAAAATAAATTCATTTGTTTTCCATTGTATTCATTGTATTTATATCCCACCTTTTTCTGCAAGGAACCTGGGAACTTGGAAGTCAGAGACTCAACAATTTGAATCCTGAAACTTTGCTTGTGTTTGAATGCAATATTGACAGTCAGCTTGGTTTAGAACAGCCTATTGCAAGCTGGTACTCTCCAGATGTGATGTGATGTCACCCAGCCTCATGGGGATTTATTTATTTATTTAAAACATTTTTATGCCGCCCCCATCGCAACAAAGCCTCGGGGCAGCTCACAACAAGAACAAAATTATACAATAAAAATATTAAAACCCGGTGCATCTCGGCTTAAAAGATTTAAAATCCTACAAATAACCAATAAATTAACAGATTCAGGTGATGAGAGTTGCAGGCCGACATGACTGGAAGGTATCAGTTTAAGGAAGGCTGTTTTAGGAGATAATGTTATCCATGCTTCATTAGGAAACAAACTCCTGCAATGGCCATGCAACATGGCTGGTTTGGGCATGCTTGGAATTTTTAGACAGGGAAAAATTCCACATAATTAAGATCGCACACTTAGATGATACTTGAAAGTTTACAGTCCTGCACTAAAGAATTCCACCATTCTGCATACTTCACCCTCAAGTACCAAATGGAGAACAGAAGGAATTTCTACTACTACCTACTCTAAGACAGAGTCAAACTACACCCGACAGTTAACTGAATCGGGTAATTTCAATCAAATCTATCAGATTGAAAGAGCAAGGTTTATGAGATCATCACAGAATAGTAGAGTTGGAAGGGGCCAGAGGCTGTTGCAGGACACCATGTTACATCACCCCACTCAGATGGCTGTCCAGTTCCTTTTTGAACATTTCCAGTGTGGGAGAGCCCACCACCTCTCCAGGCAGCTGGTTCCATGGTTGTATTGCTCTGACAGTGAGGAAGCTTTTTCTAGCCTGAATCTGGGTTGTCGCAACTTGAATGGATTAATCCGTGTCCTACACCTTGACCTTCCTATTTGTGACATCCTCTGACTGACTTGTAGAGTACCAAAAACATTTACCAAAACAAAACAAAACAAAACAAAACCCCACCCTTGGCCATATATTCTCTCCTGCAGAGGACTTTCCTTGATTTTGAAAGTGCCCTCTCTTTGAAGGGTTGCCCAGTCTAAGTCTGGTTTAAAGGCAAAGAATCATAAGAAGAGAGAGCTGGGCCTATTAACAGAACCCGGACAGGGGACTGAACAAAGCATCAAGGTTACCATTTTCCATCTTATGGTGAGATGCATTGTATCTTAATTTAAATTATATTATTTCAAAATTTGCAAAAACATACATTAGGTGCAATTTTATGAAATCAGTGTCCTCTTTTTGAGAAGCATGTGGACCCTGATTGAATCGCGGGGTGTGTGCGACCAGATCAGGGCTGCAGCATGAAGAAGGGCTTAATCCTTTCCCTGCCCACTGTTTTCTCTCACTACCACCCTGGTCGGGGTCTAGGACACCAGCAGCCGTCTGAGGTGATCTAGAACTAGAAGCCACAAGGTGAGCCAGCAGTCAGGACCAAACAGAAGCAAGCTGGAGGGCAGGAGTGGAGAATGAGTCGAAGCTAGAGGTCAAACCCAAGGGCAGGAGGGTCAAGGATCCAGGAAGTCTCAGGAGGACCTAGTTGCACAAGCAAGTCCTATTCAAGCAGGTGCTCCTTTATACTTCTTCCCATCCAGGAAGAGCCCGAGCCGGTCCAGGAGCTGAGGGCACATCATTCCTCCACTTCCATGGTTTGCCGCACGAGGCAGCAGCAATTCCTCCACGCACCAACACAGAGAGAGTGCGCATGTATGCAAGAGGCCTCCTTTGTTGCTTTTAGCCGCCCAAACAGAGAAAGAGGGAGAGAGAAAGCAAGAACTGCCATCTGTTGCCATTGCATTAGTGGTTTCCAGGGGAGCATCGTTTTCTACAGGGAAAGTGATGTGGGGGGTGGAGGGGGGAGTGGCGAAGAATGACCTCCTGCACACTAGACTTTACCCAACTTGCCCACCACACCAGCTACTGCCAGTTCAAACGGAGGGAAACCAGTTTGGGGCTTCATAAAGTGCAGTTCATGTTGTGTGCATTTGACCCCTGGAGAGTCAGCAGGAGATACTATAAATTATCTGAGGACAGGGCTAGTTTGAGTCAGGGTCATTCCTTAACACCATGACTATGTCCAGTAACAAGAAAAGAAGATGTCATGTTTACACATTTGTAGTACATTGGACTACAACTCCCATCACCCCATGGGTAGATGACTTGGGCTGATGGGGATTTGTAGTCCAAAACTTCTGGATGGTGATGGCGTTGGGGAAAACTGCTCTAGAGCAGAGGTGGGAATTGGTGGTCCTCCAGATAGTCTGGGATTACAAATGCCATCATTCCTGATCAAGGGCTATCCTTGCTGGGCTGATGGGAGGAGGACATCTGGACAGGCACAAGATTCCCCACCACCCTGCTTCTCCTATGCAGAATTGTTTTCCAGTGTTTGGATTTTTTTTCTTAGGTTCATTTTTTAAGCAAATTTGAGCCATTGCTTTTTCTCCCCCCTTTTGGACTTTCTCGCTTCGTGCATGTTTCCTTTGAGCCTCTGTTTGTGGTGGTCCCTCTCTTTTCTCTCTTACATCCTTCTGAATCCATCGTCATTGTGTCTTTGTATACCTTCTTGCACCCTGTAGTCCATGTTGTGTCATATCATTTGACTGTTTCTCATGTGAACAAACGGGATGGTGCAATCAGCCAGAGCTGAACTGTGGCGGGTAAACAGGTTTGTTGCGGTCGTAACTGTACTCAAAAGCTCTCCTGATGATTCAGGAGCAGAAGCATCACCACAATGGTAAGGTTTTAATGCAATTTCGTAGATTGTCCCTAAGGCTCAAGCGAATGCATTCCCAGAGCCATCTTAGGTTAAATAGTGATCATTCTCATGATCACAAATGCTGCTGCAGCTGGGCAAATTTAGATTCTGGATAATTGGAGCATCACCAAACCATTAGAGATGGGGATCAGGATGGGCAGTACTGGAAGAATAGGGAGTAGTTGGTTAAAGTTCAGAAGCTGGTGTAGTTAGCTAGTGTAGTAAAAACTTCCCCACTGTCCAAAAGCCAGGATAGCTTTTTGGAGCCTTGACAAGATCTCACTGGCCTTCATCTCAATAGGAAAAGCATCAGAAATTATTGGTTTGAAGCAGTTTCTCCAAGTATATTTCTTAGATAAGGAATCACTCATGGAGCAGGTGAAGCTAGTCCCTCTTTCTCTGGACTTTGGCTGGAAGTGCAGGGTTAGGAAAGCTCCATTAATTTTATTATTTTAAGTCTATAAACTGCTTATCTACAGAAAAGTGGGAGTCAGTCTTCAAACTCTACCCTGGCACCATGCTTAGGAGCTCTTTAGGACACACGTGCCAGACTGGAGGCTGTGGGCCAAATCCATCCTAGGCAGGGTTTTCAGTTTCTCAAATGCCCACATAATTTCCCCCCAGAATGCTAATTGTGGCACATGAAACATGGCAACAGTTCTCCAAAGGGAGAAGTACTGGCAAGTAAGACTTAAACTAAATCACAATGGCATTTTTTGGCTTCACGCCTTTCATCTTTGTCCCTGCCTGTCACGAAAACATGACTCCTGAGAGCTGCTCTGAAACTGAATTTGGGCCTTGAGCTGAAAGAATTTTATTGTCTCTGGCGTCAACTGCTTGAAAGTGTTCGAAAGTGCGGCATGTTCATTGCATCCCCCCGTCTCTGACAGTAGCCAGCCAGATCCTCTGGAGAGTTCAAGAGTAAGGCAGTGTAGAGGCAGCAGCTGCTCCTTATGCGTTTCCGGGCATCTGTTGCTAATGCATTTTTTGTTTAGTTTTTTGCTTTTAATGCAAGAGCATTTTATAGCTGCTGGAGCAGCAAATCAAGGGAAGCCAGGAGAGGAAGCAGATTGCTCAAACTTGGTTCAAGGCGAGTGCGAATTCCAGTTGCCAGGGACTGGGGCTCCGGTGCAGTGTCAGCTGAGCTGTAGTTGGAGGAGGCCAACAACTTATATAAATTATGCTCAGTGGCAGGAAATTGTAAAGTGCCGCTAGATTGATGATAGTGACGGCAGGAGTGCCTTTGCTAGAGCAGTGATAGGCAAAGCAAACTGAGGCTTGATAAGGCATTTGAAAAGCCACCGATGGGCAGAGGCTAGCAGTGGCTCTCTACCCGTTTGCAGATTGCTTTCCTCTTGACCTTGCTCAATCTGGCATTTCCATGGCAATGGTGATGACAACACCCAGTTTCTTCATTTCTGATGACTACGCAGGGGTCCCTCTTGGTTTGACTGTGGAACTTGGAGGGTGACAAAGAGTCTCACGCTACTGGCTTGCAGGAGGAGTGCTCGTCTGGACCTGAGGCCGTCTTACCCCTTGATGTCCTCCTCCTACCTCGAGGCAGCCCAAGTGCAGACTTGCTTGGGAATATTCATCTTCTAGACACTGGTAAGAAGAGGTTGCTTGTGCAGAGAGTATTCTTTGCAACCTGTCCCTGGCTTGGCACCCTCTGGGCATACTGGACTACAACTCCCATCACCGCAGCCAGGAGACCCAGTAGCTGCTGTGATGGGGCTTCTAGTCTGCCACATGCAGATGGCATCAGAGGCAAGACAGGTTGTCATGGGGGAGAGGGTGGCTCTGCCCAGGTTTTGCTCTTCGTGTCCTGGCTGGAATGCTTGGCGGACAGTGAGGGAGGTAAATACGGCAATGCCCAACCCTGCAGGGGGCCTTACAGTAAATAAGGATTAAAGGAAAAGATGTTGATGTCACTGGCAGCAGCTGCTCTAGCTTTTGGAGAGGACTTGGGCAGACGCTATCAGACGGCTGCCCTCTCAGGCTGGGCTGTCCCTTTCCATGCCACTCTTCTCTCTGCTGCAAGATTACCCTCTCCCACTGAGTCCAATCTGAGTAGCTGCCGGGAGGGCTCACAGGGGTTCTTCTTGTCATTGCTGGAGGGCATGTCCGCTCATTCTCAGGGGGAGCAGGTGAGAGGCCCAGAGAGCCTTCAAACCAAGGTGCAGCCCCTGCATGTTGCAGAATGCTTTCTCCCCGGGTGTCCAGCTGGCCCCAGCATGAGAATCACCCTGGTGCCAGGTTAATGTTTTACTCCCAGGTTTTTGACGGAATGTGAGGGGGGCTTTTCCTGCTAGTTGTCTTATCAGGTCCCCTTATTGAACTTTGTTCTTTTTGAAGTAATACAGTAGTATGTTGAACAACCTAGATGGCCTGCATTTTTACACTCCGACTGTTCTATGCTGTGATCCACCATCCCATTAAACTATCTTGAGCTCTCTCGTCTCTGGCCATGTGCCCAGCACACTGCATAGAAACAGATGGGAGCACTCTCTGCCTCACCCCTTCTTTGACATGGGGAAATGATGAGAAGCAAGATAACATTGAGTCTTGCTTCCTCTTTACTATTTACACTTAATCCTCCAAAAGGACTTATTTCCAGGACATGGGAATTATAGTCAAGTAGGTTACATCCAGGAATGGGTGTAATGGAGTTTTAGTTCCTGGCACGCCAATGATACTCAAGGTAGAAGGCATGACAGCTGTGTGGGTGCAGAAGCCGAGTGATGCAGAAGACAAATGAGCTGTCCAAAAGGAAAGGACCCCATTTTGTGTCATGCTCAGCCACATCCTTTAGCTTTGGATTTTGGATGCCGCAGATGCTCTGGATACATGCTTCCAAACCAGACTGTGATATGCTGGTAGAAACAGATGATGTTGGAATGCAGCTGTTGCCTGGTTATGGTGGAGTCCTTGTCCAAGCGGTTTGAGATCTGCTATTAGCTATGCTGCAGGAAACCTGGTATGCCCGTAATCGCGCTGTCTCACTACCCACTGTGCCATTTTGTGGGGGAACATTTCCATTATGACAAGGGAGCTCTATCACTGCAATCACCTGCAGGACCAGTCCTGCTTCTAAACCGAGAACTTAAATAAATTCAGAGGGGCAGACAAACCTTATGCTTGTGGTACTGGTTTTATTTCTCTTTACCTTTACCAGAACCTTGAGGTCCACCAACCTGGTGCGAAGGGCAGCCACCCTCAATAAAATAACTTTGAGCGTAGGGATTTCCGGAGCAGTAGAACGAAGTGGCATTCAGTTATTTCCTTGGGGCTTCTTGGAGTAAGGATGGGGTATAAATTGAGTAAGCACAGAGCTGCTTTTGCCCTTATTTGGCCTTGACATGAAAGGGATTTTGTTTTTGCAGTAATCTCATAAATTTCTTCAGAAACTTGAAACCACATCCACCATTGTATGCTCTTAGAACTTTATGCTCCACTGCACTGCAGTCTTAAATCATTTTTCCACCTCAGGGTCATTTATGCCTCTGCTGCTGTCCTTTATTTATTTATTTACTTATTTATTTATTTATACATTTCTATGCCACCCCATTCGCCGAAGCCTCGGGGCGGCTCACAACATAAAATACAAAAATAACAATATAAAAATAACAATATAAAATAAGCAGAGGTCCTCAAACTTTTTAAACAGGGGGCCAGTTCACTGTCCCTCAGACTGTTGGGGGGCTGGGCTATAGTTTGAAAAAATACGAACAAATTCCCATGAACACTGCACATTAAAAGTTAATTAAAATAATTTAAAAAATTAATTAAAATTTAAATAATTTTTAAAATTAAAATTTTAAAAAATCATTATTTTTTAAAAAAATGTTTGCTCTGCTCCCTCAGGCTGCAGCAGAAGTCCAAGATGAGGTGGGGAAGAGCATGTCCATATTCAAGGGACATAGCTACAACACAACCAAGGCACCAAATGTAGTATTTTGCGTAATGCAGCTGACGGCCGCAACTGGCACTTACAAAGAATGAAGCAAAAATACTCAGGATAAATACTGTCAATGCCGCTCTTAGTATTTGAAGCAAGTCGGCCCAGAACCATTCCCACAATCCACACTGGCTGTATTTGGATGCAGAGCTGGTGACCACCATGTCTCAGTGCAACCTCGCCAGAACTGGTACTGTCCGGATGAGCTGGACTACGACTCCCACTGGCCATGCAGGTTGGGCATGATGGAACTTATACTCCTCACCGCCGCCCTGCCTCTGAGGGAGCGAGAGACCTGGGAGGCGAGTGGGGGCGGCTCCTAGGCCGGGAGGCCATGGGGGGAGAGGGAAGGGCTGCTTTTGGAGGCGAGGGGAGGCGAGGGACGGGCCGTGGCTGGCCAGGCGGGGCGCCTCCCGCCTCTCCCCACCGCGGGGGAAGCGTGGCAGCCGCTTGACGGCAGTGGCTTGCTCAGAGAAGGCCGCGGCCCCGCTCCGCCTCAGCCTGTCTGCCCCCGGGCTCAGAGAGGCAGCCGCGGCTTGGCCCGCAGCCCGGGGACGTGGCTCACATAATTAAAAATAGATTTAAAATGTTATATTTTTCTTACCTTCAATCCATTTTTAGTGTCTTCGTCTCTCTCTTTCTTCTGCCTTCCTCTCGTTTCCCGCTCTGTATTCCCGCTCTGTATTCAGATCCAGCACATGCGTGCAATGGGGGAGTGGGGGATCCAGCGCATGCACATTTGAAGGGAGCTGTTATAATTTGGCTCGTACGCCGGCTCTCTGCTCAGTTTCAGAGAACACCTGCGCCAGCTCAGAGCTTTCGGACTTGCTCAGAGGTCGTTTTCTCCAAACAAGTCCATAAGCTCTGAGGCGGGCCGGGTAAATGACCATGGCGGGCCATATCTGGCCTGTGGGTCGTAGTGTGAGGACCCATGAACTAGAGCATCACTTTTTAAACTCAGGATACAACATGTCCGCCAGATGTATTGGACTACCTTCCATCACCCCTGATTATGACTCCCAATGCTGGCTGGGAGAATATATATATATATATATTCTGTCCAGCTCAATAGGCAAGATGGCTCTCTGGGTGGGTTATAAAATATAATACTATAGTGACAAAAAATATACACAAAGAACAATAATATTACATTTAACACATAGACTGAAACAATAAATAGTAACAATAGAAATATAAAAATAAAATAACAAAAATAAATTTTATAAATAGAATAAAAATAAATAAAAATACAGAAAATCCCCACAATAAACAACACAGTAATCTCAATTAATTTAATCAAAGGCAAAAACACAATTGCATTAAAATCATTAAGTACCATATACAGTAATTTTAAATTAATTAATATTGGGTAAATGAAAAAGTATTTGCCTGGCACCCAAAAGAGTATAAAGAAGGTGCCAGGTGAACCTCTTAAGGAGCTGGTTCCAGATTCAGGGTGCCTCTATTGAAAAGGCCCTTCTCCTTTTAGCTGATAAAAGGTACTCCAGGCCACCAAATCCACCACCTGAATTCCAGTGATAATTCAGGGTCCAGGACTGCTCCTAAACTACGAACCTCATTCCTTTGTGGGCAGTGTGATCCTGTCCAGGACAGATATAATGTCACCCATTTGGACAGAATTTCCCTTCACCAACAGTACCTTCATCTTATCTGGATTAAGCTTCAGTTTTTTTTGGTCCTCATCCAATCCCTTATCAAGCTTAGATCCTGTTTCTGAACGGCCACTGCCTCAAGAAGGTTGGGGGAAGAGGAGAGGTAAAGCTGCGTGTCATCAGCATACTGAAGACATCTCAGCCCACACCTCTGGAAAAGCTCTCCCAGCGGTTTCATGCAGATGTTAAACTGCACGGGAGATAAAATGAATACCATGGTGCAGAGCAATTACCCCACAGCACCACCTACTGCAAAGCAGTGCTTTCAACTCCCAACCCAGCCAACCTATCCAGAAGGACACCGTGGTTGATATTAAAAGCTGCTCAGAGGTTCAGAAGAGCCAACAGGGTCTCTCTCCTGGCAAAGGTCATCCCAGAGGGTGACCAAGGCCGTCTCTGTTTGAATCCAGGCCTGAAGTCCCACTGAAATGGTGTTGTCACAGTCTCAGTGTAATCCTATCACTGTTCACTTGACTGAAGTCCAGTAACAGATGCAGGTTTTTGTGGGTCTTTAGGCTCATGGTGTTTGCCCTGTAACTTCCTTCCTTCCTCTTCCCCTCCCACATCATGGCTTTAGCTCAAGGCTGAAGCAGCAGCTTTGCATGCTTCAATCTGACATCTCCAGGTAGGACCAGAAGTCCCAAGGAGCCACTGTCAGCATCAAGAATACTGGACATGAACCAGTGGACAAACTCAGTATAAACTGGTTTCCTATGTTCCAAAGTAGCTGTTCTCCATTGGAGCTCTGCATGAGCCTTCAGCTGACCCTCTGATTGGGAGATAAGTCATTGTCCCGTGGGCCCCTCGTTGCAGTGGAGACAGGAGGCAGGCTGAAAAGATGTGGTGGCCAACAGGCAGTTCTACTAACAGGGAGTCAACCCAGTGACAGGAGCCCCTGCCAAGCTCTGGGTCTCAGTAAATGCCCATCCATTCCCATCCTTTGGCATCACCCCTGAGTAAGTCCCAAGTAGCTCTGAATGGATTGGAACCTTAGGGTTGTTAAACTGAGTGGTTTTAAAGTTAAGTTAAGCAAGAGTCCATTTCAGTTACTTTCAAGGAAAAGGAAACATGAACAATGCGTACATCACATTGACATACTGGCCAATTCACTGTGTGGCTTGTGTCAACTGAGCAGCATTTCTCAAGGCACAGGCGTGAATCATCTTCTGCGTTGCTTTTCTGTACAGATCTTTCACTTCCTTCTGGGGAAAGCAGTTAAAAAACGCCTCTGAATATAGGAAGTGCTGGTAAAGCTGCAGAGAAGGGGCCATGTTGTGCAGTCGCAAAGAATCAAACAAGTCTTCCAAACCCCACATGCCCACCTCAAATGAAGCAGCAGCAGAAATAGTACTGAATCTGCCACCCTAAAGAAGTCCGCCACAGCCCCTTCCTACAGGAAAATTCATCCTTTGTTTGAGCCAAGTTCTAACAAATGCAGTATTTTTCATTTTCCTGGGATTTATTGAAATGATGTGGCTTTTTGTTGGGAAATGGGATGATGGTGGGCATGTTGTGAGCAGAGCCAGATGGCCCAAGAGGCCCCTTCTGACTCACTCTGTTTCTATGAGTGCTAAGGGCTGAATGAAAAAAACAGGGATAAAAGAAAAGCAGAAATATAACAGAAGACCAATCTGGCAAAGACAGCAAAGTCCTGTAGTTGGAGCTGGGATATTAATTTGAACCACAGGTGTTGGCTAGAAAGAATTAGAAATGTGTGCCTCATGGTTTGCTGATCCACTTGATCAGTACCAGGAAAGGATATGAAAGAATGTTCAAGGCAAGCTACTTTTAGGGCAAATTGGAATCAATTAATTGGAAACTGGATTTCAAATTTAAAAAAAAGCAAGGAGCTGGCATCGTTCCAATGGACCACTTAACTGATGGATAATTGTAATGTCTTAAATGAGACTGCCTTTCCTCAATGGAAGTCGATTGTGTGAGGTTGGTTGTACTTACAACCGAAGATACCCTCACTTTCATGTGGTCATCATGGGAATGCAAGACCACTGATTCCTATAGGAGCAAACAAGGATCCCTCTAGCTCAGGGTTGTTGGCAGTGCCGGAGAGCAGCCCTGCAGGTTCTTTCCGGCAGATGTGGGGGATTGGGCCTGCTGGGATAAAGCTCCCCCTCTTGATGGAATGGCCTGGGGCCTGGGGAGTGCTATTGCTTGGATTCCTATCTTGGGTCAGCTGTCCTCAGCCTGCAGCCTTCCTGATGAGGATTCCAGATTCCATCACCTCAGCCAGCCTGGCTGATGGCCAGGGAAGATGGGAGGTGTAGACCAACAAGTATGAAAGTTACTGCATTGGGAAACATTTGCGTCATTCACCCATGTATACTTTTCTGGATGCAAGATGATAAAATACATGGACGAAAGGGCAAAAGGGATGTGACTGGGTGCTCCTGGTATCTCTGGGCTGCTCACAGACTCCCAACCTAACCTACCTTGCTGTGAGATAAACATAAAGAGGAGGCGGCGGCTAAATGTAAGCTCGCTTGAGTTCTTTACAGGACAAAGGCAGCTTATAATACAGTGAATAAACAAGTAAAACAACTCTTGCCTGCTCTTAGACATGCTTTTGTTAAAAGACTCTCTTTTTGACTGCCAGATACTGTGATGTTACTGTTTGCACATACTGCTAAGACACTGTAGGTGAATTTTCCTCTGGGGCTTCATGGAGGGCACTGGCCACCATTATCAATATCCAAGTGGTGGCAGCCATTTGCTCATAGCTGACCGTGCCTGGAAACTCATAGAAACACAGAAACAGAGCGAGTCAGAAGGGGCCTCCCGGGCCATCTAGTCTGACCTCCAGCACCAGCCGGCTCTGCTCACGACATGCCCACCATGTGTCATGGGTTGTTTGAGAAGGCAGACAAGCCTCAAATAACCCATAGCTTGTTTTAGGGTTCTCTGAGAGTTGCCTGCCCCCTCAGACAACCCATAATGCTGGGTTTGCACATCATGGCAAACTACCAGAAGTATCTAGCCTGTAACGTGAGTGGCAGTAGCTCTTCAAGGTGTTCAACTGAAGCTGGTGCAGTTCAGCCTGGGGCCTTTGGTGGGCAAAAAATACATTCCACCACTAAGCCCACCCCTTGAATAAGGGAAGCTATCTTCTTCTCAGTTGGGTTGTTGTCCACCCAGTCCAGCCCTGCCTCTTCTAACTGGCAGGTGCTCTTCAGGGTCTCAGGCAGGGGTCCTTCAATTGGCTCTTCAACCGATCCTTTCAATGGGAGCTTTCAGAGGCTGAGCTTGGGCTTGATCTTCTGCAAGCAAGCATGGACTATTCATAACATTAACTCTTTCCTTTTTTTTTAGGCTAAGAAAGCAGAAAGCAACACGCTGCAGACTAAAACAAGACCATGACTACTCTGACGCCCATTCAGACCACAAATAACTCAGCCCTTCCTTTGCATTCTTCAGAATGCAGTGTGGATTCTGAGTTCCGGTATAACCTGTTCACTGTCTACTACAGCATCATCTTCATTTTGGGCTTTATAGCGAACACCTACGTACTATGGCTTTTTACTCGAGTTTATGCAACAAAGAAATTGAACGAGATAAAAATATTCATGGTCAACTTGACAACAGCTGACCTGCTCTTCCTGGTCACCTTGCCAATGTGGATTGTATATTACCATAACAAAGGGAACTGGATCATGCCTAATTTTTTGTGCAACATTGCTGGCTACCTCTTCTTTGTGAACACTTACTGCTCGGTCGCCTTCCTGGGTGTCATAACGTACAATCGGTACCAAGCTGTCACAAAGCCCATTTCCACTGCCCAGTCCAGCACCCGAAGAAGAGGCATCTACATAACTGTAGCTATCTGGGTCCTTATATGTGTCCCTTCCACATACTTCCTCTTTGATGAGGGGATCACCCAAGAGGAGCACGTTAAACGCTGTTTTGAGCGTTATGACACCAAAGGCAATACTACCCCTGTCCTTGCTGTCCACGTGATCATTTGCCTTTGTTTCTTTATTACCTTTCTAATTGTCCTCGTATGCAATGTGCACATTATCCGGACCTTGCTTTCCCAACCCTTGAAAACGCAGAAGAGCGCCCGTGTCAGGCAACGGGCATTCTGGCTGGTGTGCACCGTCTTCACCGTCTTCATCCTATGCTTTGTCCCTCATCACCTCGTGGATCTACCCTGGACCCTGATGGTGCTGGAGAAATGGAAAATGGGGTGCTCGGCACAAAAGATCCTGAATGATACCCACCAAATAACCCTCTTCCTCCTGGGTGCCAACTGTGTTCTGGATCCTATCATTTACTGCTTCCTCACCAAAAAGTTCAGGAAACACCTTTCTGAAAACCTGAAAAACATCAAAGACAGCCGCAAGTGTTCAAAGCAAACAACGGAGACCGCAGTGGAGGGGGTGATACCTTTGGAAGAATATCTCCACACCTCCTTCAAATCGTAAAAGAAGCTGCTACAGGCACGATGCAGCAGGTCTCCTGCGATGCTTGTTCAGCACTCCCATTTAGACTGGTGGGCTGGCCCATGAGAGCTCTCTGAATTTCTGGCAGATGAATGTAGGTTTTGAGTTCTTCTATAGCGGCCAATGCAGTAACTGGAATGCATGCAGAGCCATCTAGATATCTTAGCTCAAGAAGAACATGGAATACCTTACCTTTTGTTATTGCTGTAAAAGGAAACTGCTTAGAATCTCTTAGGACATCTTTTTTTAAAAGATGGGCATTATGTTTGTTCTCTGGTTCAGAGACAAATTGTACTTAGTTCTTACACTTACAACTTGAAGCTGGGTATAGTACTTGGTTTTACACTTTCAGTCTGAAGTGGGGGCCATGTGGGTTGTGGAGTAATACATCTATATGGAATCAGGTTAAAGAAGCCTGGACCAGACCACGAAAGACCTTTGAATCAAACAGAGCATCTGCTCAAAAGTCCAACAAATAAATTAAAGTATAACCCCAGTTATGCATTTCTGAGGCATTACTTTAAAAACAAAATTGGGGAAGGAATGACAGTACTTTCAAAGTGCTATTCTGGCTTTGGCGGGGGTGGCAGTCCCTGGTGAGAGTTGAAAAGTGAGTGGTAAAGGCATTTTTGGCCACTCTTGCTGAGTGGCCCTGTAGCCAATTGCTGCAATCCAAGTTAGGGTCTCCCACCTCCAGACTACAAGACATCCCATTGTGGGCAAGGACAACTGTAGAAAAACCATGTTCATAACTGTACAAATAAGCCCCACTGTGGAAAATGCACCAGGTTCAGAGAACAAAGCAACCACTCACGGTCTTGTCGTGTGAACAAGGTGCTCATTTCTATGCTCCAACATGCCTAAATTGTGTCTTGTCTCTCATTTCTTCTGCCTATTGTTTTGCGAAAGCATCGCTCTAAAACAAAACTTTAAAATACAACTTTAAAACTCTGAAACAGAACTCTATGGACACTGCTTGAGTGTCCATAACAGTGAGGGCTTTGCTGTATTCATCTTGCACTGTGTTCTCCTTCCACCCCGCAGCTGGATTTAGAACCAGATGTGTGATTATTCTAGATGTTAAAGATTTTATAGAAAAGCATAATTATCCTCCCGGGGGCCATCCACCGTCCCTAATACAGCTCTGGGCTGCACTGAATGGAACTGCACGCTGTGCGTTGCGTTATGGTAGCTCATTGTGTATCCAAACAGACTTGCCTACATGTGCCCCAGTGGCAACATCCTCTGCTCCAGGAACAGAACTGCTGGAGATGGATAGCCAAGCACTTCAACTAATTGGGAAGTTACATCAAGACACAAAAATACCATGCACTGTTTAAGTACACAGTGCTTGGAATGCTTTCACTAGATATTCAGAACCATCAGCAGGGAAAGGACAGAGCAAGTACAACCAAGAGCCTGAAGGTGGCAGAAAAGCAACTTTTCAGGAAGTTGTGGGAGCCTAAAAAGCAATAGCAACAGAAGTTTCACACAGTCTAAGGGTGGAGTTCCTTCTCAGGAAAGCCCATGATATAGCAAACCAGATGATGCAAGATCTGGTCTTCTCAGACAATCACGTCTGAGAAAATTGCACTTGTTTCTTGAGCACCCAAAACCTGCATCCACTGCAAGAGGCCACTGATTTCAGTGGTTCACTTGGTAAAAACCATCTCCAACCCAAAACCCTAGAGAAATGGAACATACAGACAAGGCTATTGCATCACAGGTGGTAAAAGAATCAGGTTGTTGCTCTTAAATAACTTCTGCTTGTTTCAATTCTCTGTTGGAGTGTGCACATATACATGTACAAAATCCTCTCTCCATATTATTACAGAATAAAGCTCATCATCTCGATACTTATAAAGATCAAATCAAGAGCCCCTTTCTAATTAAGTTCCTCTGGATTTAGCTGTGTTACATCGGCAGCTTCACCGCCTTAAAATAAGGCTGCAGTCCTGGGAATATTTAAGTAAATTACATTCAAGTTAGTGGGACATGTTTTCATAGTAACATAAAATTCAATGCAATTTTGCTTGCCAGGGTACAGGTCCCATCGAATTGAACAGTACTTACATCTGAGGGAATGTGTTCAATCAGGCTGCCTACGGTCTTCTCATTTAATTCTACCTGGATTTGCATTTCAAGGCTGAAAGTGGTCAGCAGTTCCCCTAGATCTCACAACATTAGAACTCTGGACCATCCAATGAAATTGCCTGGCTGTGGATTGAGAATAAAGAAAAGAAAGTAGTCCCACATTTCATTTTACTTATTTTCCAGGTTTATATGCCACTCCATATTCTGGCATGGAAATTTCAGAGCACTGAACCAAAGAGAAAAAAAAAAAACAGGCAAAAGAAGAAAATAGTATGTTAAAAACTGAAACAATTGTACAGTGTGTATGATTGATGGAATTTGCTGCTGTGAGAAGTGGCAGAGATGACTGGATTAGATGGCTGTAAAAGTGGATTGGTCAAATTAAGAAAGGAGAATGGGTGTACATCTGTGCCCACTCAACACGATTGGTAAATAGAATGTCCATGTTCAGAAGCCACAGGTTATTAAGCTGCTTGTGAGAAACAGTGAGTTGCTACCTTCAGATGCTGAAGAAGGTCTGTGATTAGCCTCACTAGATGAGATGGAGCTTTGCTCTGAAACAGTTCTGAGATTAATAAAAGTTCTCTTGTGGGTTTTATGTGGATAAAAGTGGAATCAGCTTTTTAAAAAATATTAGCTTTTCTGTTTTTTCTCAGGCAGCTTGGCAATTTGATAATTCTCTCTAGAATTATTCATCTTAAATTTCCTATTACATTTATAGTATTATGTGACAAGTATAAGAAAAGTCCAGACTGCTTCCTCATTATGCCTGCATAATGCAGGATAGCTTATGGTTAAAACCATCCAGTGCTGAAACGGCAGATTTTTTTTAATGTGTAAAGCTAACTGGTTAAATACTAAAACCAGAGAGTGAAGTGAAACAAGCCCAAAGGGCATAGCTTGCCAGTATTGCTTTTGTTCCGCAATTCTTAAATGTTGTTATGATGTGCTAAGTTGTCAAAAGCAAGATAACCTGGAAATTAAGCTTCTGAAAATTTTATAAAAATAAATAAAGTTCACAAAAATGTTTGAATTGTTAATTTCTAAACATCTATGCTTCTGGGAAGTGAGCTTTTTGATTCTAGAATTACACAGCTATGCCAGTAATATTCATTCTAGAAATTAACTGTACTAGCCATAGGACATGACAAATATGAAAGTTTCAGATTTCAGATGTTACAAAATAATACAAATACATTAAAATTTATTGTAGACAAAATTCATCTCTAACTTAACTCTTTGAATCTCTGGACCAGTTTAGAGCAATTTGATCTGATTCTCTCTTATCTGTTCTGCTGCCAAGACAAGCAAGGCTACTTTATATGTCACACTCATTGGCACAGCTCAGAAGAAAATAAACCATTTCTGTCAGGGCATTCTTAGATCAGTAAGCTAACACGGTTTTTAAGAACCTTTCTAGGGTCCCTATATAAAGAGCAGAGTAACATATAATGAATAGTGTCTTCCATTTGATACAAACCACAAAAGCATTCAAAAGCCACCTTATTATATTGTCCATCCAGAAGTACAGTTGGTATAATTTGAAACTGTAGTCCAGTAAAAGCATTTCCTACGGATCTTCTCAATATGAACAGATAGCTGGCTCTGAAATGTCCTGTTTTTAAAAGAAATTTGAGAAAATCTAGAGTTCTTAAAGATTGCAGGTCCCTCCTAGAATCTATCCAAAAGAACGTATCCCTTGATTGTCCCTTATCCATAGCAAAGGTGAAATTCAACTCTGAAAAGTAGTAGTAATGCACCAGATTAATGAACGTTAACTTCCAATCATATTTTTATTTATTTCCAAATAGTACATAAGTGGTAATTTTTCATTTGGAAGACAATTAATTTAAAATATCCTAATGAGGGCAATCTGTTCTTATTCTGATCAATGGTCATCCTGACTTGGTGTGCAAAAAAGCTGCAGAGGTCAAGGGTAAAAGAGAATAGCTGTGTTTTTTTTTTAAATGTTAGTTTCCAAAACATTTATGGTGGTAGTGCCCACTGTGCAAACTTCAGCCCCATAAACTATTTGCATGATCATTTTGCTATTATAAACTTTAAGAGTAGGTTCTAACAGCTGCCCACTTTTATTATAATACAACTTCTTTAATGTCCCTATAGTTTTCTGTGCTTTCAATTTCACTGCCTCCCTCTGCTCTTTCCATGAGACTTATTTTAATGGATGCCCAAGTGTCTAAATGAATGAGTTCAATAACGTGTTGGTCCAGAAGAGATCTGTACTTATGTCTATGACTGCCAAAAACCATTGTCTCAGAATGTTATTGGCAAACCTTCATGTTTGCAATAAATACTAAATGCATTTAGAAGACTTTTCTAACCCATGTGGGAGAGATTAGTACTATATCATCTACGTACATCAAGATAAAAATCTTTCTATTTGTGATTACAAGGGAATGAGAATTACTTGTGCTAAATGTGACAACCAGATCACTAACATAAATATTGGAATGTGTGGAGCCAAAAAGCATCCTTGTTTTCCTCCCTGTGTTGCTCTGAAAACTTCAGTTAAAGAGCCATCAACTCAACACTAATCTTTCTGTCTTAGAATATAATTTCTTTATCAGCATTAGCTGTCTCTGGTCAATATTAGTGCTTCATAACTTTTCCCACTATCTACTTCTGCCAAAAGAAACAAATGCAGCAGAAAGATCAATAAATGATGCAAAAAGATACTTTTTCATACTCTTAGTATATTTCCTTCTTAGGTATTTTAGAATGTCCATTGTTCTTGGCTGTAACTACCTTCAAAACCAGTTTGTTCTGTGTGTATAATTTGATTTGTATGCAGTCAATCTAATCATGTTTGAAGGAGATAACATGCATATATCTTTGAAGAACTATCTAGCAAGATAACTAGCTGGTGGTTTTGTGACTCACTCCTGTCACAGGACTACTCACACCAATGCAACCACAGGGTTTTTCTAGTCCCATGTTTACCCTGGAGGCAACTAGCTGAATGGAGGAAACTCAAGAGTAGGATATGAGCACAACATTCTCCACCCCACCCCCCGCAACTGCTATATACAGGCATCGTTATAGCCACCATGACTAGTAGGTTATAGCCATCATTGACAGCCTCATCTTCCATAAATTTGGTAGCCATTGCTGCCTCTTGTGGTACTAAATTGTGATACTAAATGCCTTCTTTTATTTGTCCTTAATTCCCCACAGATCAGCTTCATGGGATACACCTGCATCTGAGCATTATTAGGAAATTCCTTATCCAATTTCTGCACATCATGTACAATTCTGCCATGTCACCCTGTACCAACTTTTTTTTCTAAGCAAAATAATCCCAGGCCCAGATGTTGTTCCAGCCCCTGGGTCATTTTGGTTGCCCTTTTCTGCATCTTTCCCAATGCTGTAATATCCTAATTTTAAGACAGGACCAAAATAAATACTTTAGCCTTGAAGCACTATAAAGGTGAACAGACTGAAAACAGCAAGTCATAGAACAGAGTTCACATCCAGACCTCTAAAACATATGCCCTTTCTCTCTGCTGCAATGAAGAACACAGCTACTGCACTTTAAATAGAACATTATCCTTATTTAGCGTGCCTTGGATTGCAGATCTGCATTTCAGAATTTCCCATGTTTACACTGAATTAAGTGTTGTTATGCTCAATGGGGTTTATTTCCTAAATAACTACACTCAAGATTGGAGCCAGTCATCTTAACCCTAAGTAGGTTTATTCAAGAAACAAGCCTCACAGACTTAAAGAAACCACAATGCTATGTGGTGTTTACACAGAAAAAAAAAATCCTACAATTCCCATTATGCCCCAGTCAATCATACTTCTGGGGCATGTTGGGCGTTGTGTTTAGACAGGAAAAAAGGCCTACACTTAGCATTGCACCTTTACTCCTGAGTCAGGGTAGGAATCACACAGGGCTGTGCAATATTATTATTGCTATTATTTTATTTCTATGCTGCCCAACAGCTGAAGCTTTTGCTGCAGTTTACACCAATTCACAAAACACATTAAATATAGTATAAAATGCACATGCAGTAATTAGCTGCAACCAAATCTTTAACAATCTTTGAATTTACAAACCAAACCTAAACAATAAACACAGGCCTTGTTAAAAACAGCTGACATAAGCCCCCCCCATATCCAAACAAAAGCCATTAAATGCCATTGTACGCCCCAACAGTAAGTCTTAACCTGGCACCGAAAGGTTAAAACTTGGTACCCCGCGGCCCTTAGAGGGGAGATCATTTCAAAATATGGGAGCCACGCTGAGAAGGGTGCCACCAACTGAACCTCCCCCAGAGGTAGCACAGTCAGAGGGCAGGCCTCAGATGTCGAGCATAGCATCCAGGTAGATCTGCTAAACCCGTTTATTCATCACACGGGATTTCCTCCCAAGCAGACGTGCCTAGGTTAAGATCGGGGCCTTCACTCAGCCACCCAGAAGACAACGGCCGCCTAACCGGCTTTGCAATTAGCAGCCGCCGTCCACTGCAGCGGGCCCCGGGCGCCACCTAGCGCCCGAAGCAGGTAACGCCTCCACACGGCCCCGGCTCCTCCGCCGTTTTTGCCGACCTCCTTCGACAGGGCGCCTGGCCCCACACAACCACCGCCGTTCGCCGCCCGGCCCGGTGAGGCGAGCGGACGCGCGCGTTAGCACGCAGCCACCACCTTTTCCTTCCGTCCGCTTCCACTCGGCCCGTCAGAAAGCCGCCGAGGCGACCACAAGCAAACGCCTCAGCCAATCAGAACACAGCCCACCCTCGACGCGACTTCCGGCAGGGAGCTTCCGCTTCCGGGTGCAGAGCGCCGACGAGGTTTGCTGAAGTGGGTTCCGTTCTTTTCTTTTCGTCTGCCTTTACTCCTCGGGAAGCCCGGCCCGTTGTCGCAGGCGCCGCCGCTGCCATGTCGGATCGTGTCGAGGTCGGCCCCGCGAACGACTCGTCTCGGTGAGAGAAGGAGAGCCGCTCTTGCTCTCGCCGCTCTCCCGCTCGCCCGCCTCGCCTCGCCTCGCCTCTCCTCTCGCGCGAGCGGTGGGCGTGGTCTGGGCAGCTGTGGATGTGGCCCCTTCCCGCGAGTAGGGGCGGGAGGGGAGAGCGGCGGAGGGCGCGGGTGGCGCCGCTCGCCCTTTTGTCCTGCCGCAGGGAGGCGCACGCACCCTCCGCAGGACGCGTCGTTCACTCGCGGAACTCCTTGCCACAGGATGCGGTGAAAGCCGCCCTGTTCTCTCTTTCTCTCCCCCGCAGGCTGAAGCAGCTTGAAAAGGGGATCTGTAACGGGAAATCTCTGTAAACGGGGAAGAAAGCTCTATCTTTGTGGCTGGTGGTTGTTCAGTATTCCATATTAAGAGGAGGCTCCCCCTTGATGCTAGGTGGTTCTGGGGACCTGCCCCAGATAGGGAATGGTGTCTTGCTTAGGAACTTTATGGCCAAATCTGCTTGGCGATTATGGAGGCAAAGTATGCTATAATTTGGTCTTGCTTAGCAAGTTTATTTATTTAGAATATTTATATGCTGTCCTTGTGCAAAAGCCTCAGGACGGCTTACATAGTTCTCATAAGGAGGGGCTGCATATTGTGACTTAGGAAGCTGCATGTTTTGAAAAGTAAGGCAAGTAGGGGCAAATCTGCATTGACATCAAGTGAACAGTGAAAGGCATCTGAACTTCCTAGAAATAAGCAAAGCGTATATTGGGTATTTTGAAAGGAAGGAGGAGAGGGAGTAGTCAGGTTGGAAATGATTATTAGGATCTGCATTAGACAAAAAGCTATTTCAGCCACTACCCTGCTTTCCACTCTTTGCAAGCCACCATTGTGCTCTCTCAACCTGTGGGCAAGTTGTGATGGAACCTTTTATAGTCATTTGGTTGTTAATTGAATCAGATCCTGTAAATACATCCATGGAAGTGCCATCTGTATTTCTTGGGAATCCTGTCAGTGCATTTGTCCTTGGACAAGATTCATAGCTGATGCAGTCTGACAAAATGCATTCACAGTGGGGGGCAACATGGAGAATCGGATTGTAGATGGCAGTGTTGTTTTTGTGCTTTACTTGAGTATTCATTCAAAAGGCAGAAATATGAGGTGCTCAAAAGGGATCTCTCCAGGCAGGGAGAATGGGCATCAAAATGACAAATGCAGTTCAGTATGAGCAAGTGTAGAGCAATGCACGTTAGGGGAAAACTCCCAATTTCAAGTATACACTGGTGGGATCTGAGCTAGCAGTGACTGAGCAGGAAAGGGATCTTGGCATAGTGATGGACAGCTTGATGAAAATGTCTGCCCAGTGTGCACCTGCTGTGAAGGAGGCAAACATGCTAGACTTAATTAGGAACAGAATAAAAAATAGAACTGCCAAACTCTTACTCCCCCATTAAATCTAGAATAGATGCCCACAAAAATAACCCTTTGTTTTGGAAGTGTGAGATGGGATGGGTTATGAACTAAGCCACTGAGAACGAAATCTCTTGAATTTACTGCTGCAGTCTTGCCTATTTCACTATGTTGGCATGATGTTTACATTAGGTTAATGTTGGAGTTTGCTTAGATGTCACATATGCTCCTTGGTACCACTAGATCAATACATTCTTAGTTGCAGGAAACATCCCACAGCAACAAGAGGCTAATTGGAATCTGGTTGTCAGGTAGATGAGCCATGCAATTTATTTATTAATTATTTATTTAAAACATTTTTATGCTGCCCCATTGCAACGAAGCCTCGGGGCGGCTCACAACAAGCCTCGGGGTGGCTCACAGCAATGATTTCAGCTCAAGATCTATGGATTATTTGTACCCTCTAATGTCCTGGCCATGGGAATAGGAACATATTTAACCATTGTGGAACAGATAGAAGTTCTGAGAGCTGGACCATAACTTTAATCAGTTTTGCTCATTAGAATCTTAATATAATGACTTCCTCTGCAGATTAATTTGGATGAGACCAGATGTTATTGACCAGTTGTGAGAAGTACATTCTCAGCTCTGTGAACCCGTGAACACAAGGGTTGTTTCTGATCTTCCAGACCACACTTCGTAACATTAGAAACATGTGCCTGTGCTGCACATTATGCTAACTTACAGTTTAGTACTATAAGAATGAGCTTTGGCAGTGGTGTAGTCAAACAGGAACATAGGGCACTGTAGCTCCAATATTTCTTAACAACAGGAGCAGTGATTCCATCTCTGGAAGGCGTATTAGTATGGGATGGTTTCAACTGCAAAAGAAGAGGCTGCAGAATGTCATGAAAGTGGTTCCTGTATCTGGAAAGGTTGAAGGCTATTGTTCAGGAGACTAATTGTGTTAAGCTGCTGGGGGATGGCAACCCAAGAAATACCTTGTATGTACTCACTTGCCTGTGGTGTATCAGAATTGCTCCCATATGAACAGTCATGGGAGCTTTTTGTAAACTGGACGTGTACTTTGGGCTGGTGATATGCCAGAAATGACATACTACTAGTTGGCATGAGCAGATGGGCCAGTGAAACTGTATCTTCACTAGCAGCATTTGTAGTCTGCTTCACTAACCTTTTAGAGTTCTTTGAAAGTTGACAAGGTGATCCAGTAGATATTGTTTACTTGGGCTTGTGAAGGTCTTTTGACAAAAGGTCCTGAGCAAACTTAGTAGTCATGGCATAAGAGGAGAGATCCTCTTGCAGAAAGGTTAAAGAAGAGGAAGCATCGAGTAGGAATAAGTGGTGCATTTTTCCCAATGGTGGGATGTAAGTAGTGGGGTTGTGCAGAAGTCTGCATTGGGATCAGTTCATTTCAACTTATTCATAAAGTGAGTTGTAAGGTGAGCAGGTTTACTGATGACATCAAATTATTTAGGGTGGTTAAAATAAAGAGGGATTGCAAAGATCTCCAGCAGAATTTCTTCAAACCAGAAGAATGGACATACAAATGGCCAATGTGGTTCAGTGTAAGCAAGTGAAAAAATGAAGATTGGGGCAAAAAACTCCCCATTTTTAAGTATATCCTGATGGGAACTGACCTGCCAGCGACTGACCAAGAAAAAGATCTTAGGATTATGATGGACTTGGCAATGAAAATATCAGTGCTTCTGCAGCTGTTGTGAAAAAGGCAAATCCATGTTAGCCATAATTAGGAAAGGAATTAAAAATCCCACTTCAAGTTCTTACTCCTTGTACACAATTCATGGTGCAAACCACATTTGTATGTCGTTCTGGTCAGTGCACCTAAAAAGGACTGATTTGCAAAAAAATAAAAAATAGAGCAGTTGTTTCTTGTGTGCCACCCAGAGAGCCCCGGGACTACGGGGCAGCATACAAATACAATAAATAAATAAGAGTGCAACCCAGATTGGATGTTTGTAATTCTCCAAATTTGGAGGCTTTCCAGGATTTATTATTGATTTATTAGATTTGTATCTCACCTTTTTCTTTTTTAAAGAACTCAAAGTGGCTTACAAACCATTGCCCCTTGCTCTCAGTCTTAAGCCTACAACATCAACCCATGAGGTAGGTCGGGCTGAGAGTCTAACTGGCCCAAAGTCACCCAGTTGGCTCCATGGCTGGATGGAGACTAGAACCCAGATTGCCTGAGTATACCATGCTGTTGCAACCAAGTTCTGCTCATGTGTTTTTGTAGGCATCAGGTTAGCACCTGTGTGAACAGAATGTTGGCTTAGATGGATCTTGGTCTTGATTCAGCATGATTGGTGCTTGGTGTCTGGGGATGCTGGTGGTGGGAATTATTTTTACACCCATCTTCCACTCCATACTTTATCCCTACATGCAAGTAAGCAGTGCCTACATAGTGCTTTTGTTTTTTGCAGTATTCCAGAACCAATGGCCGGTCATTTCTAAGGAAAGTAGTGTTTTCCCTTCACATAGAAAGTAAATGTTCATGCTCTTTTTTGATGTTCAAAATACTTATAACTTGCACAATATTAAATAAGTCTGCAGATCCACACACATGTACCTGGGGAAAATTCCCATTAAACTTGTGGGGAGGGACTTCTGAGATGACCTATGTGGGATCGTCATGTATATTATTCATTCTGCCCTATGTGATCTTTTATCACTACAGTGCTCCCCCATCCATCTTTTTATATGGAAAGCAGGCTTTAAATGAGTGTGCTTGATAGAGGGTTATGGATTCAGTTTTAAGAGATTGTGAGTATCCGCTTTAACATATTTGTTTATATGGCATCCAGATTTCAATTTAGATTGTTTTTAAGCAACACTTAAGAAAATTGATTTCTTTTTAAAAAAGGAAATTTAAATGAAAGTAAGATTTCAAAGCAATTCTAGTTTTCATACACATACACTCAGAGATATTTATCTGTGATGTTTTGAGCCTGTTACTATGGCAACCTTTGGTTGCTAAAACAGAAACCTTCATACCTGAACACTTGGTGCCAAATAGCATGACTGCATTGTGCACTGTTTTACTCACAATGGTGTAAGCTGTGTAAACAGAACGCAGTGTAAACAGAATGCTGGACCGGCATAATTCTTCTAATTTTATTGTTACTTATTTTGGGAATCATCTTCATGGTTTTCCAGTTGCAAGGAAGGCAAGAATGGAATTACTTGGTTTCTCAGAAGTTCTTCTGGACCATGGCAGTTTGCTTGATATCGAGTCTCTGAGTTACCTCGGTCCATTTTGTTCAGCGCTGCCTACAAGAACTGGTCTCCAGAGTTTCAGGCAGAAATCTTTTCCAGCCGTACCTGGAGATTGCAGGCTTTGCCCCGGGATCTTTGCATGCAGAGCATGTGCGTGGCCAGTGGGCTGTGGGCCTTGGACAACCCCGTGGTTAGTATTGTTGAGAAAGCGACCAGAGGAAGAAAAAGAGACACCTACGATTGCATGCTGACTCAAAGGAGCCCCACTGCGTTCAGTGGGGCTTACTCCCTAGCGTTAGGGCTGCAGCCAAGCTACTACTGTAAGGCCCCATCCCATTTCTCTCTCATTCCATGAATTCGTTCATTAATAGAGGTGCTGACTAGGGATGCGACTTAGCTAAAAAGGTTTTGATTTATTTATTCATATTGAATTGGTTAATGTGTTGATTACAGTGGCATATGAGTAAAAAATGAGACTTGAAGCAAAGCACTTCCCAAGTGTGTGAGAAGTGAGAAAGTCTCTGAAGTTGTTGCTTAGTGTCTTCAGTTTTTACTACTGCTTGTGTTAAAATCATATTTTTAATTATGCCTTGTATTATATTTTTACATTATAAAACATTGCCTGATTAATCAGAGATACTTTTTTTAGTTGATTGAAAGGGACTTTTTAATGGATTACTCTAGTTGTTTAGTAGACTGTATCAGGGCTAGTGTTCTGAGCTCCCTGTTTGCACATTCAGAAGCCACAGACTTTTTCCTTACATAGTGTTCTTTATCAGTCAAAAAGCACAAAACACTCAGAATGAATCTTTGAGCATGCACAGAGCGGTCTGTTGAACCCAGTCTAGTATTCACCTCCAGGAACTCACCTTATGAACATGCCTGGGCCCCATCCCTTGGGAGGGGCCTTCTGAAAGCAGGCATATCTCCTTGCTGTGCGCCAGTCCTCTAATTAGGCTGGCCTCCTCATCATGGGGCCAAGAGCCACCTTGTCTGTGTCTGAGAAACTCCCTTGATCTCCCTAGAACTAATTCCCCTCCTGCCAATTATACATCTTGGTTAATCCCAAAGACCGCCTGGCCACCTAGAGAGTCTGGCTACTAACATCTCAGTGTCTTGGCATGACTCACCTTCCCCGGTCCCCTTGGATTCTCCTTTGATTCTGATTCTGCCAGCAGTCCTTGAGAACAAACACCCAAAGCAGCCGTCTTGCTTACTCCTAGCAGCCAGGGAACCAGTGGTAGAGATGTGAAGGCTGAGGAAGAAATGACATTAAAAAAATAAAAGCCTGTATTTCTCCAAAGACCATGAGAAAAAAAACTGAACTAGCAATTTGTGCCCCACCGGTTCTTTTTCAGACCTAATGTGAAAAAGCCTTATGTAATTAAGCTAAATGTACCTGTGCATTTCAAGCATACAGTTCCATCCTCTGGCATTAGGTGGCAAACTTCAACCACTGCATAGCTTTGCAACCGATGTACTTTGAAGCCAGGTAAAATAGTTCAAGGAACAGTATTCTGCAACTGCCACCTGCCCAGCACTGTGGAGCACCCATCTTTCTCAGGGCAATGGAGAAGGCAGATCCCTCTCGGGTCTGTCTCGGTGCCTCATGGCAGGGTTTGTGTCTAGTGGGCCTGGTGGTTGAGGCTTTCTCCACTCAGAAACTGGCCACTGCACAGCTTGCTTGAAGAGTCTGGAAACAAATTAAGGGAATCAACTTGTTGATACACCTAATCCCAGCAGCCAAGTAGCCTATGTCTTAGTAGAAAACAGTCCCTGCTACATTTTCAAAATTAATACTATATGTTTATGATTGCAGCTAGCCCAGATATAATTATGCATTTGCTCCTATGCAGAAATTGCTGCTTAAATAGGAGGCAGACCAGCTCCCTGACAATTTGTCCAAAAAAGTGCTATCGTAAATATTCAATTATTCTTTCTTAGAAAATCAATATTTTTCTGCAATCCACAGGTTTTTAAATATCAAGCATTATCAAACTGTATGTGTTCCCCCCTGCCCAATTTAAACTTGTGATATAAGACCAGACACAAGCTTACAACTCACAGAGTTGAATTTCATATATGGAAATCATCTGCAGAAATATTGCTTAACTTCTGCAATATATAAGTTTCAGTACTTTTAAGGACAAATATAACTCTTAGTTGGTGTTCAAGGATGGTGGGGGTGTTCAAGGACAGGCTGGACATGCACATGGTGGGCATGTCGTGAGCGGAGCTGGCTGGAGCCGGGGGTCAGACTAGATGGCCTGGGAGACCCCTTCTGTCTTGCTCTATGTTTAAAGTAGTAAGTAAAATAAGCTAGCACACTCTTTTCTCTGGTCAACCGGATGCCTCTAGGAAGTCCATAAGAAAGGCCTGAAGGTAATAGTGCTCTTGTTCCTATGGATTAGTCTGTCCCTTTAAAGCCTTCTTACGTGACCATCCCCACATCTTGTGGTATTGAAATTCCATAAACTAATAATGAGTTGTTTGATTTCCTTGTTGGGCGATGCTAACAGATTAATAGTGGGTTCCCTGGAAGCAGATGGCTGCTGCTTTCTGTGTCATCATTACATTTGCTTGATAAAAGGAGCGAGACTGGATTTTCCCTGTCATGGTAGTGGGTGCCAAAGCTTTAGCACTGAAATGTAATTTGCCTGCTTCCTTTCAGGCAAAACTATAAAAGCATGGTTAATTTTTGATAGTAGCTCTTCATTATTCAAGTAGTTCTTAAGTATTTTACTTGATTTTAATACATGATTATTCAGTTTTTTGAACTCCTAAGGGCACAGCCTATACATGTTTAGAGAGCCAAAAGATCCCAGCTCTGATGGATAGTGAATGCAGGAAGGGGTAGGATTTTCTGCTGCCTAAATGTGCATATGGTTCCACCCAGTCAAACAAGATATAAATATTCGTTACTTTCTTTCTCTTAGCTTTTAAATAGACAGCAATATAATTTTATTCAAAATCTGTGCTTGTGACACAGCACAGAGTGCCTGTGTGTGCCTGCTGTTTTCTTTTCACAGCAGTCACTTGAATCCATGGGTGCTGTTTGGGAAGGCACAGAGTCTCAGAGCATACTTTTCTGGATCACTGGTAGTTCAGACTGGAAAGTCCTTGCAGATTGGACTGGCTTTGGATCTTCTGACCATCTAGTTTTAAAATCTGACGGCTTCTCCAATGTAAAGGAGGTAGTTCAGTAAGAAGTGTAGCATTGAGCAATTGCATCTAGAAATATTCTGTGACTGACTTCTTGTTCTTGTTGAGCGGAGCCGGCTGGTGCCGGAGGTCAGACTGGATGGCCCGGGAGGCCCCTTCTGACTCGCTCTTTCTATGTTTCTGGCTAGAGTTTACATATATGTACATGCACATGTATAGCCGTTAAGAAACTGCTCTAAATCAGGCTAGATTGTATCATAGTGTTCACCACAAATACAGCCTGCACTTATCATTTTAATGTAACTCTAGTAATCCTGAACTACCCACACATGGCCCTTTCAAAAATACTGAGCATAGTGGCTTCTGCTATCAAATTAAATGAAGTACAACTGCAGCATGTGATGCCGGATGGACACATATACATGTGTTTAGATATCTCATCCTACCTGTTGCTTGGGGCTTAATGGTAAACCTTTCGTTCATCTTCTTCCCTCCATCCCTTCCCCTAATATATGTGTGTGGTCTTTAGTTCGGGAAAGCCCACATGTGTTTAGAAAATGGCACATTATATATGACTATTATATGATGATAGCTGCTTCCAAAAGTACATAAAAGTGTGGGCATGTTTTGTTGCAGGCTTTGAAGACAGCAGAGGAGGGCACATATTCTGCGTGTCAGAGCAATTCTGAAAGACTTGCATCAATGGAAGAGGTACAAAGCTTAACAGAACAGCCAGTGAGTATATAAATGGACCTTTAAGAACCATAGAAAAAGGTCTTTGTCTTTCATATGAATGTGTGATACACATTCTTCTGGAAAATGTACATAGATTCTGTATCCTACTCTGTCTAAAAAATGAAAACAAATTCTATTTTTAATAAGAGCCAGTAGTTAATAAATTTAATTTGTAACATTAAAATATTTTCAAATATTGTAATCATTTCTTTTTAAAGAAAGAAACATTCAGAAGATAGTTTCAAATATTATTTAAATATTAGACTATAAATCACCATTAATATGAATGGTCTGTGAGTTACTGTTGTAGGAAGGTGGAGTTTTAAATGTAAAGTTTCATTCTTGAGAATGAAAGAATTTTTCACTTGTAGACAATTTGAAGGGCAGTTTTGACACAGCAATTTCTCACATGTGAAAAAAGCAGGGAGAAAGTGCTTACCCCTGGAAATCTAAATAAATGTTGATGATAATTATGGTAAACAACACTGTTACATTTTAGCAGTGTTTGATTTATAAAGAGCTCTTAGCATTTTTATCTAATTAACACATAAAAAGGCTGTTTCCTAGCCCAGTAGTTTATCCTGTGTGTATTTCAGTAGAATGTAAAGCAGGGACGGGCAAACTTCAGGCTTGAGGATCTGCGTTCTTTGTTGTGTACTACAATCTCAAGGTTTATCACCCAGAGCCTGGTAAAAAGACATTTAAAAAGAACTGAAGAGTTCTGAGCATAGAAATTTGTCTTGCATACAGAATGGAGCTCACAGTTCTTCAACACAAAAATTACTCCTGACCACCCTGAGTTTTCTTAATTTAAGCAGTAATTTAGTGTGTATATACTTGGGAATTTTGTTATAACCATTAGACGTGAAATTTTTAAAACTCCAATTTAAATTTTAAAAATCCCATCTAAATTTTTTTAAAAATTAAATTTTAAAAATGATATTTTAATTTTTTTAAAAGTCATTGATTTTTATCCACCCTGCTAAAGTGTGTTGAGGACATTGGGCCAGTAATTCACTCTCAGCCCAGCCCACCTCACAGGAAGCTTAAATTTGAGAGGAGGATCATGGATGGTGCCTTGGATTCATTAGAGGAATGACAGAATATAAATGTAGTGAAGGAATGTGGTTGTCAACAGTTCTATCTCCCCATACATCCACATGGTGCACCCCACTGCTCATTGAAAGACTTCCCCCCAGGACATTGTTGGGGAAGTGGAATCCATGCCTCCAGAGCAGCCATAGATACCCCCCCTCACCAAAATGCCCCTTGGAATTAGCAGTATGGGTTCAGTGTAGATTTAACTACACTTAAAGCAGACCAATTGAAACCATAAAGTGTTAAGTTACTCAAGACTAACACGGGCCCCATTTATTTGAATAGCTCTGCTCTAAGTATGGTTAGGTTTGGCTTCAACCCCATGTCAAGATGTAACAGTGTTCCAAGGGGCGAATGGCTTTTGGGCTACCATTACTTGCAGTAGAGGCATGGCTTCCTTAAAAAGGTGGTGGTGGTGGACAACTACCAGCTAAATTCTACCACTTTTCAAGGTAAGCTTCCAAATGTCAGAAAACATTGAGCATTCCCCTGCCTGCCTCTGAGAATTGTAGGATTTTTTAATCCCGCTCGGCCCTTTAATCCCGCTCGGCCCTTTTCCCTTTCCCCACTATCAGAATATTCACAGCAATACAGTTCAGCTGATTTGAATGAATTGGCAGATTTTGCATAGAGGGCTGCTCATGGGAGTGGATGGACATTCAGTGGTTTAAATCCCGAATGAAGTGAAATTTGTGAGAGCCTTTCAGTAATCTAAACAAATATTCTTAAGTGACTAGTTCTGTTTTGACTGATCCATCTGCCGCTGCCTTGGGTGGCCTGTGCATAACATTTATGTAGGTCTCCTAACCAAAGCTTAGATTGTATCCACTCTATTGACATAGTAACTCAGATTTAGTCATTCAATATAATTGCTGCACTATTGTTTCTGCACAGATAGCTATCATTAAAATGCATTGCAGCTGCAGTTGCTGCAGACATCTGCCTCATGTATAAAATGTGAAGCCGGGGGGGGGGGGGACCTTGAAAATGTGGGGTGGAGTGGTCACCAAGGAACTCTATCTATTTGTTGTCTGGGAAAAGCGGAATGAGAGAGAGAGAGAGGAAGAAGGGAAAACATATTTTTAAAGATTTGAGTTCTTTTCAGATATGATGGGGAACTGATTTCCCCCTGTAAGAAATGAGCCATGCCAAGCTTAGGCTCATGCAGTGTTTTCTCTCTTCATTTGTTCCCTAAGGAGGAAAAGCTTTCAGTTTAAACTAGCCACAGTTCCCCATGATGTCTGAACACTGAACTGTGGTTCGTTTAAAGCACGACCAGTGAGAACAAGCCAGGATTTAAATCTGCATTTTGAATCTGGCTTGTCCTCATTGCTTGCAGTTGAAACAATCCTGAAGTTTCTCCATTTGTTGGCATGGGGAGCCCTGGTTAGTTTAAGTGGAAGTCCTTCCATGCAGATAAGAAAGAAGAACGGGAAGAGAGATGCCTTAGATTTACTTAGCCTTTTCATTCTTATTTCAAGCCTTTGTAACTTATTGTTGATTCTTAGTCAACTCTAAGTATCGTTAATGTCAGTGGTGTGGAGTCCTTTCTTTGTAGGAAGGCGTTGGGTCAGCAAATTTGACTAAACCTGATATCTTTGAACATATGTGTGTCTGCAGATGAAAAAAGCCAAGATGCAGGAATCGGGCGAACAGCTGTTAAGGTACATAATCCTTGAATTGTCTTGAACTGTTTTAAGAGTTGACGCCTGATTTCTGTGGAGTTTGTGGGGTGATGTTGATACCTTTTCTTTAAAAGTGCAGGATGAGGGTGGGGGCTGTTGCGCTTTATATTTCCCTTGTGCTGCCTTTTAGTATATATTGGACATTACATTACAAGCCTGAGTTCACTAATCCTCACAACAATCCTGTAAAGTAGGCCACTGCTGTTGACATTTCACAGATGGTGATCAGGGAATGAAAAAAGAGCACTCTCTTTTCAAGACCCTTGTGTGAGTTTGGTGAACTGAAACTGGAGCCAAATGCAGAGAGGAACCATATGCAGCACTCCTATGGATCAGGTGATTGCTTAGAGAAAGGGCCATGAACACCCACCAAACTGCCACTACTTTTAAGTGCTCTCCTTGGTGGCTTCTTCCATGTGGAAACTGTTTTGTGCAACACTTTGCCATATGAAGTGGGCATTTCTTCAAACTGTAGGTTGTTGGTTCAGATGTAATATTGAATCGCAGTTTGTCCCAAACGTGGCATTGTTTAAATTACTGCAAAGCCATTGTTTCAGATCCTGGTTTGGCTGCCACTTGTAAACAATGGTTTGTTGGGTGTTGATTGTTTAGATATTAAGAGAACCTGGTTTAGCATTACTTCTGAACAATCTCATAGCTTTTTTTTTAATGGATGCAATTCTAAGCACGTTTACTAGAAAGTTGCCGTTGACTGTAGTGCCCTGGTTCAGTTTCCCTTTACAACAAACTCCAACATGAGCAAGTGTACCTTCAGGTTACACTTTGTCAAAGAGCATAGTTTCCTATTCCATCCAAATATGGAAATCCGTGGTATGTACAAACCAGGATGCCACACCATAGTTTTATCTGGGTTTGTTAACTAACTATACAAACCAGAGTTAATTGATAAAATGGGAAACTTTTGTTCCAAACTGTGATTGGAAACATTTAAATCTTCTCCCTCCATCAACAGTAGAGAGTTGTGCAAACCTGAAGTACACCAGTCTATGCTGGAGCAAGTCTCTTCTGCTCCATTCATTTGTGTATCTTATCCACAGAAAAACATTTTTGTGGCGGTTAAACATCAGCTCAACTCAGGCTGAGAATCCAGTTTACATTGAACCCTAAGAGCTGTTCTGTATCCATGGAAACACTTTGGGTTGGTTCCAGTCTTAATTACAGGTCGAACAGACAAACTTAAGTACCATTAATCTCAACCACAATTTGAAGCTTGTTTGCAAACCACAGTACTGACTGTGAAGCTGACTGCTGAACAGGCAAAAATGAAAGCAGAGCAGCACCTCTAACCCCTACTTTGCCTGGAAGCATAAGCCATGGTTTGAGAGCTTAACACTGGCTAACACAAACCAAGGGTTGCTATAATGTCCCAGTGGCGCTACTTTCTGTCCTACAAAGGCCAGTAATTGCACCCCATCTGTATTGATCTTTTCAGGCAAGTGAGCAGCACTGACAATAGCGATCAGAAACCCGAATCCTCAAGTCTTGGTTCAAACCTGTCCATGTCTAATGAAAGTAAGTGGGCTCCTTAGTAGTTGATTAGAAGAACTGGATGATTTTGTACACCTGAATTGTGCATAATGGTCTTTGTAACTCCCAGAGCCATATAGCAGGCCCATCCCAGCCTGGTGTTAGGACTTATTCTCCTATTATCCCCAACCAGCATGACCAGTACTCAGTAATGCTGGGAATTCTAGTAAAAAACTTAAGGTTGGAGATGGTTGCAGAAGGTTCATGCTTATATTTTTTCCCAGAAACACGCCCACAGAACCACCAAATATATTTTAAATCTCCTTAAACTTTTAAAAATAATTGTTTGTGGTGGAGGTTGGGGAAGAAACTGCTCCAAAGAAAACTTAGAAGCATGCCTACGTATTACAGCTGAGACAGAAATCAACCTTTTGGCAGTTTTTGTGGGTGTGCAGCATATTTCTCCCTCCCTCCCTCCCTCTAGGTTACCCTGAAACTCCCATTCTCTCTCCCCCTCCCCCACTTACACACACACTTAGATACCCCCACATAATCCACATTTGTAGGCATACAGTCACTCCTCCATTACTCCATCACACAGGTAAATACATGTTGCTCCCTTCCCTTCTTCACCCCTAGTCCAGCTCCCAGCCTTCTTTCCACTCCCTCCACCCTCCCGGCAATCCTCTCTGCCAAATCCCTGCTTAATCTGGAACTCTTTTCCACTCGCCTCAGGTCACATCTCAGCAATCCCTGCTCCAATCATTCTCTAGCCCTCCTGACCTCACCCCAGGTCACTCCTCCTGCCAGACCCCAGGTTGCCTCCCAGCGTACCTCCAAGGTTACTATGCAGGCAGTAGCAGGGGTCTTTTTTTCTTTCCTTTTCTCTCCTTTATGTTGATGTTGGGGGAGAGATGCTTTAGCAGACAGCTCAACTAACACCATCAAGCAAAGAGCCTGGCTGTGTGAAGCTCAGAGGCATCCTGGGAAAGGAAAATGGCTGGCAGCTTTAAGCCAGTGGTTCGCTTTGCTGTTTCCCTGGCCATTTATTGATCGAGTTGGGAGTTGGGGGGTTTATTGGAGGTTGACTGTGGGTGCGTACGTGTCCATGGTGACCTCAGCTCTCACCCATGGTTTAAATTCTAATGATTATGTGCTTCCTTTCCCCTTGCCTCTACATGCAGGAAAGGAGTATACTGTGCTTCCACGTCTGATTTAGGTACATTCTGTTTGCACCAGAACACATAACACATCTGAATATTACTGTGCACATTTCTCTTAGCTGTTTGTGTTAAGAACTGTTAAAGATGGTTCTTAATTATTTTCGTATAATTAATTGTGTGTGTATGTATATGTTCCATAGTTATGCCATGCACTGACTACATCTCAAGGTCATCGAATGAATATACCTCACAGATGTATTCTACAAAGTAAGTGAAATAGCTTAGTTCAGCATGCTCAAATGTTCGTTTCTCCAAGATGTTCAGTACCATTAAATTTTCATAACAAGTACCTTAATGTGTGAAGTTTAAATAATCCACTTCTCAACTAGCCGCAGTGGTTTACTGTGCCATCCAAACACAGACCATTTCCCAAAGGATGGCTTGTTCTTGGGACAGAAGCCACCTTGACAACCCATGGCTTCTTTTGGGGTTTGCCGGACACGTCAAAGATTGGTGTATTGTCCACACCTAGGCAACTGACTCTTGTCCAGACCATTGCTAGTAAGAGTTGCTCCACTTTGGCACTTTGAAGTGGCCACCAAATGAATTTGGAATAACCAACACTCCCCACTCCACTCATGACCCCTTTTTGGCCAGTACAGTAACTCTTCCCCTTCATCTCCCACTTGCAGTCTTTTCATGGTCCCGGCCAATAACAGTCCCACCAAGGTGCTCATGTAGCATGTTGGAACAGGCATCACTGGTTTACCACCTGTTCTTTAAAAATACGTTTTCGGTACCAGAAATGTGTGCAATTGTTGGTAAGTTATTTCCAGTCATATTGCTGATGGCCAAGAAGAGTTGCACTTGTTAAAGGGCACCTATTACACTGTGACGTGATTACCATGACTGAACAGGCAAGACTCTTCGTTTTGGCTGCCTGCAAGTATGCAGCTCCAAAATGTTTCTGGTACATTAAAAGTATGTGGCAAACAGTAGACGCTGCAGTGTGCCAGTTGGGCACTTTTTAGGAGCTGGCAGTGGCAGAGATCACGAACAGATTGTGAGAGAGAGGAAAAGAAAGAAGCTGTGTGTTGGTGGACAAAAACAGAACAGTGGGGAGAATAAACAAGGTGGCTTCACCTGCCAGGTCCTCTGGAACACCTGCTGGATGACGGAGAGGGAGGAAGATGTGAGGAGAGCACAGCGCCCAGTGAGCCTGATTGTCTGGCTTATTTGATGGGCGGGTTGCTGTGTTGCGCAAACATGCCCCTGGCTTGTTGCCAGCTGGGTGGCCAAGTTGAGTAAGGCAGCGGGAGGGCTTTCCATTCCTTGACATAACTCAGCACACTTTTCTGTTCATTTCAGAACGCTCCTTAATGACAAGCCATTTTTTTCTTTTTTCATTTCTTTCTTTGACAGGCCCTATGCACATGTTCTTTCTGTACCTGTATCTGAAACGATGGCCTCTTATTCTGGTCAGACTCAGTACCAAGCACTACAGCAGTCACAGACTTATGCTGTTTATCCTCAGACAACCCAAGCCTATGGACTACCTCCTTTTGGTACGTGTGTAGAAGCTGTCTGAGGAGGTCTGCATTTAAGTGTATTTAAGGTGTTCTCTTAAAATGTTTTACCTGTGCCTCTGAAAATATGCCCATGCAACATTTATATGGAGGTGGGTTGTTCTTGCTGTTGTTTTTTTACTTTGTATGTCGACTTTCCTCAGTTTTTGTATCTTCTAGATCTGTTGGACTAGAACTCCCAATACCATTGGCCTGGAAGTGCCAAGAGTTGCTGTGCTAGCTGGGGCTGTTGGGAGTTGTAGTTTAATCCTTCTGGAGGGCACTAGAGTAGGATTGGCTGGAGCATACTGTAAAGATGAAAGTGCAGCAAAATGGGTGGGTCGTCTCTGGACCACAGCCTTACTCTGGGCCATGGAAGTTACCTATCTGGCCTGTGGAGGCTTGGGATTCCTGTGGGATTTCCCTCCTCAAGCCTCTTCCTTGTTCAGAAGCCTGCTGGAATTTTGAGAGGTTGCTGCTTTGCTGCATACGCAGCAACGAGTCACTGCAGCAACAGTGGGGACATAAGTCTTTAATTGTTGCTTTAAAATAGCCCCTTTTTGCTGCTTCATCATGATTTGAAAAGGAGGCTGTTCCCCACTGCTGAATTTCAGAGGAAAGGCAGGAGGGGAGATGTTGCCCACCCCTGGTTTAAAGTCTTTGCACTTGGCTTATTCGTTTTTTGATATTCTTGCCAACCATCTCAGGGGTGTTAGAGCTGAAAAGTGGATTAGAAATGTTCCTGTAGATAAATGGATTGACAACACATCCTTCTCTGTACATAGGGAGCTTCTTTGTACCAGGTCAGGCAGTTTAGCTATCTAGCCCTGCGGTAGAAGGTTATTGTTTGCTCTTACTGGCAGAGGCTGTCCAGGCTCTTGGCCCAAGGTCTTGCCCAGCATCTGCTTTGAACTTTCCAATTCCAGGAATTGAACTTGCCACCTCTGTGCAGATCGTGTCATCTATCACTAGGCTGTAGTACCCTTCAGCCCCACACACCTAATAAGCGCTGAGCTCAAACAGTTCACATGAACCTGAATCATTCAAACTATACCTGCAGTGGACATCAGGAGTGGATGAAAAGTGCAGAAGGGAGGCAAGTCTGGTGGTGCGTGTCTGTAGCAGAGGAGAGAGTGGCCAAGATAAACAACGTTTTACAAAGATGGGTTTAACAAAACAACAACAACAACAAAACACTGTTTTGTTTTGCATGCTTTGGTTTGGTTCCTTAATGTGTGTACCATACTCCAGTGTTTATCATTAATATATGTTTCTCAGTAATAGAAGACCATGGATACAGCATTCAGTAATTAGAAATTGAATGAGTTGCTTCAGGAATCATCCTGCCAAATGATACAATGCCTCACTAGAGCAGCTCGGTTGCTTTCAGAATGGAGGTAGCTGCTTGTAAGATTGTCTTCCAAATAACCAAGTTGCTGTACAGGAACTGCAATAATGCAGAGGATGATGAACAGCTGTTTAGCATCAGGCCGGTAATGGCTTCATCAGCAGTGCCAGCACATTTCTTTCTTGGAAAGGCTTGGAAATTTAGCTTCTTTTCAGTATTGGCTAGCTTGTTTTTTCTTCTTCTTCCTCTTTGACTTTGCTTCCTCCCCTCCCCGCCCCCCAGGCTTGTATCTTAAGATTTAACTTTCACATGCAAAATTAACCATTCTCTGTATTTAGGCAAAGGTTTTGTCACCTAAACACAAGGCGAGAATAATTCCATTGGGACGCCTGGCCTAGAGCACAGCCAATTTTGTTTATAACTGGTGCAATTTATCTGATTCAGGTGCACTGTGGCCAGGTATGAAACCTGAGAGTGGTTTAATTCAGACTCCATCTCCAAGTCAGCACAGTGTTCTTACCTGCACTACAGGGTTAACCACAAGCCAGTCGAGCCCAGCACATTATTCTTATCCTATTCAAGGTAAAGGTCAGCATGGTTTTTATCTACGTACCTCTTACGTGTAAGCCAATCCAAGAAACCACGAAGAGGCCAGCACATTTTGTCTCTGTTTTGTGCATGCTTCTCTGTGCTTCGGGAACTGTGCTTTGCCTCTGATCCTAGTTTGCTTGCCTTTTCCTGGACTGACTTGCTCAGATCTGTCTACCTCCAGCTGGTGATTTTTGCCATGCTGTGCTTTGGAAATGTCCACAGAAGTGGGAGGAGATCACTGGGGTGAGGGAGAAATGGGTCACAGAAGTCCCTTGCATGTCACTGTTCAGCATGCCATGTTTGTTTCCTACCAGCCCTGCTGGGCTTAAGTTATAAGAATGCCTAGAGCTTCCTTCCTCAGCCTAGTACCCTCCAGCATGGCAAGTGCTGAGGGATAATACAAGTTGACAGCTAAAGTTTCTGGAGGGCACCATGGTTGGGGAAGGCCAGGAAAGACATTAGCTGTGCCAACTAGCAAGGGCTATTTACTTATTTACAGTCAAGATTTATGCCCTGTGTTTTGATCAAACAACCTTCTAAAACTGCTAATTAAAGATTGCAGGTATAGAGATATAAACAAACCTTACCCTGCGGCCCCTATTCCTTCAACCAGGGGCTCCCCCCATACACCTGAAGTTGTGGATGAACTGGCAGTTAGAGCTTTCTGATTAGGGAAGCAAAGGTGAGAAGCTCTCTGCAGCTGCTTGCTCTTTGGCCACGAGTTGGGGCCAGGCTGTTTTTCCTCCTCTTATGAAAGAATGGGGTCAAATAACCGTTTGCCTTTATTTTTGACCAGTGCTATTAGGCAGAGCATCATTTGCCAGTCTCCATGCAATTCTGCTTTTGTGTCAATTATTCTCCCTCCCCTACATCCAGCAGGAGGTGAGCAGCACTTCTCTGTAATAGCTTCTGGACTAATGAATAAAAAGTGCCAAATAAGAGCAGTGTTTTCTGGTGGTTTCCTTATTGAGAAACAGTATCCCTGGGGAAGCTTTAGGTCCTAGGAAATTAGCAGGAAAGAGAGTCCTTAATGCTTGTGAGCAGTTTCAGGCGAAGGAAGTTACAGTTTTGGTCTTCAAAGCCAAGATCTGGGTTTTCATAACTATTTTGGAAGACTTCTCTGACAAAATATCTGCCTGTTTATAGTCGAATAGTATCTCATTACCTGGCAACATATACTGAATCAGATTACCTACTCATTGCATCAGAAATCCATCAGCGCTTTGTTTTCTGGATATTAAGATTAATTTTAAATTGTACACAGGAAAATGAGATCAGGAGGGATTCTGCGACAACAAATCCAAACCGTGTAAGATAAATTAGACCAAACAGAACCTTGGTATTGTTTTTATCAGAATAACTCTGTATCAGTCTTCCC